GGCTCAGGGTGCCCTGCAGGTGGCCACAGTGAAATTCAGCTTCTCAGTAACTTTGAAGTCTAACCGCTACGTTTTATAGCCGCCACTCCTGGAAGAATTTTCAGCGACCTCGTGCATTGATGAGTACGTCCATTCCCTCGCGTATGCACTCAGCCCGCATTTCTTGAGCTTTTGCTCGGTGCCAGGCACCGTGCTAGGTGTGGGAGACACACAAATGGTTACACCCGAACCAAGCAGATGGAAACACGCGGCCAGTGCCGTTACAGCAAACAGTGCTGCACCGGGCACGAGACGGGCAATGCGACAAAAAGACCAGCAACGCGATAAATGCCACGGAGGGGACGGAGGAAACGGGGCAGGAGCCAACCTAGACAGGAGTTGCAGGAATATTCTGAGGGCAGAGCTGATACGGCGTTAATGACTGCACATGAGGACCACCCAGGCCCACGGCCGGCCAGTGGAGAGCTCGGCGCTCAAGAGGCGTAGGCCCCTTGGGATGGGGGGCCACCGAAGGGAAATCGACAGCCACAGACCATCCTGGAAGCAGGGATGGCAGGCACATGGGGCATGTCACCTGTAGGTGCGATGGTGTCTGGGCGCCCGTGTCACTTACCTCCATGGGTCCTTCTGCCCTCACCCCGTCATCGAGCTCCACTGCAGGGAATCTCGTGGGGAGGAAGCGAGGGGCTCGGCTGCACAGGCCACCTTCCGAACTTCCTTCCCACCGGGTGACACGGAAGACGTGTTTATTCCAGCAGAGTGTATAACAATCATACATTGTCTACACTCGGAAGTTCAACAGCACGCCCTCCGCTCTCCAAGACAGAGAACAACGTAAATACTACTGTCCCTGAGGCCACAGCACTCAGGCAGATGGGGCAAGGGGTAGAAACCTAGGGTCCCATGGAAGGATAGGGGGATGCTTTTGGAGGCCTCCTGACCACCGGCCATATTGCACAAAAACATGAGATACGACCAGGCATATTGACCAAGGAAGTCAATATGGCTTCCTTGACATTCACAGGGAAGGAATCAACACTGCCAGCCGTAGCCTTGACCGAGGAAGAGGTTCTCAAATTGATACCATTTTCCGCAAGGGGGTCTTTTCAAAACCACGTATGCTTTACATTCTGGGCAACTGGGGTGACTTTTAAGGGCATTTTGATCATACGTGATTTCTGATTCATTCACTCACTGCCTTCAGATTTTAACAATTATTTTAGCTACCCACCACCCCCGACCCCGGGCAGGTGCATGCACCAGACAGTGGGGCTCAGCCGTAACAACAGCTGAGTGGACCTCCAGCCACCAGCTAACGTGACGGGCACACTGGGGTTGCTGGCAACAGGCACAGCTGATACCTTGGCTGAGCACAAGTGTTACCAAAGGCTGTGACTGAGCCCTGCTCTGGCTGTGGTCTCCAACAGCACGTGAGCACCATTTTAGGATGGGACGAGTTGCAAAGGGAGGATCTCGGGGGAGTGGCATCTCCTATGGGCTGGAGGTGTCACAAGATGCTTTCGGATGCCCGTGTGACTAAAGGACACTGGCAACTGTGAGGCTTTATCAGGCTAAAAAGCAAGACACTGTTTCATTCATTCCCATACGGTTACCGAGGTCTTGCTCCGTGTGGGACACTTTTCTAGATGCTGTTTTTCATTTATGCTCTGTTCTCTTTCAAGGCTGGGGGCCAAGGGGGTGCCCTATGGATGTGGGATTAATTATTCTATTATGTACAAGGCTGGAAGCAGTGGGGTCACTAATCCATGTGGTTCCTTTGTGTAAACGAAAGACAGCACCCCTTCCTCAAGACTATTTCCATCTGTGGGCAAATTATTGTAATAAAAAGGAAAAGCTTTGCAGTCAACAGAGTTGTGATAAAAATACAAAAAAAGAACATTTTTAATAATAAGATGCATACAGCGTGACTGACATGGTCTTAGATGTGGCATCTTTGTGCAGTGCACAACTTAAACAGCCACACATAGTGGTCCTATGTGCGTTGGAAAGGCGGCCTTGGCTTCTCTCACTGCTGTAGGGATTGTGGGAGAAGCAGGCCTTGAAGGAGCGCCTTGGGCAGCTGGGTTGTCCTTGGTCTTAGGTGCTGTTTTTCCCACCACTGCTGCTTGGAGCAGGTGAGAAGGCTGGGCTGCCTGCTCGAGAGGCTTCCTCGGTCACCGGCGGAGTGCGTGGACGGTACAGCCAAGTGTAAGTGCCGCGGGCCCATGCAGCGAGCCATTCCCTTCGTTCATGTCAGCGTTCATGTCAGCGTCACGTACGGCTCATGCCTATTGATGCTCCCCCAGCACGTTTTCGTGTAGAATGTGATTTAACACTCTTAACCGTGAGGCACAGTTAAGACCCTATACTGATGAGGGCCCTGAAGTTCAAGAGGCTAAGTCACCATCTGCCCGCAGAGCTGGCGAGGAGGGGGCCGGGGATAACATCAACAGCCCGTGCATACGCAGTGCCTACCACGTGCTGGTCTGAGATCACAGGGTGTGTTGACAGTTAATACGCCCAACTATCCTCTGAAGGGGCGCCGAGTCTCCCCTTTATGAGGCCGTGGCCAAGGCCAGGGTCACACAGGCAGAAACAAGTCAGTGGCAGGAGTGAGGCCCGGAAAACCATGTTGCCGAGGACCGAGGACAGAGTCCTCGTGCTCGAGTGCTCAAGGGTCTCGTGGCATTTTTCTTCTCTTCCTAAGAAGCAGAAATCTTTCCCCAAGTGAGACCCCCGAGGAACCCCATAAAAACGGAGAGCCCTGGCCGATGGGAGAGATGTGCCTACGGCCCCCTCCCCCCTCCCCCGGGAGCCTCGGCGGGGACGTCTGAGAACTGGCGTCCCTGTGAGCGAGCGTCACTCTCACGCGCCTCGAGCCCGCTTTTAGAACTGGCTTCATTTCCTCATCACACACATGATATCCACCCCCAACCCCATGCCATGCAACATTCGAGAAATCGGGTGGGGTTGCCAGACCTAGCAAATAAAAATCCATGAACTTGCATTTCAGATAAACAAATAATTGTTTAGTGTAAGCATGCCCCGAATGGACATAACTTATACGAACACATTTGTCTGAAATGCACATTTAACTGGGCATCCCGTATTTTGTCTGGCAACGTTAAAACAGATTGGACAACTACTTCCATTGGACGAAGGTGGAAAGTCTGGCCCAGAGAAGTAACGGTTCCTGCCAACAAATATTTCCCGAGTGCTAACTCGGCAAATGGGTGTCAGGGATCGACTTACTTAGGTGCTTGAGCACATGGGCTCTGCCAGCAAGGTCCTCTGTCCAGCAGGAGGGGAAGGTGGAAACAGATGATTAATGCACAATGTCATTAACACACAACGTGCTGGAAGGTAGAACCATAGTTGGGATTTGATGAGTGTCCACAGGAAAAGACCCCCCCCCCTTTACTGAGGGGCGTCAGGGAAGCTTTCTAGAGGAGCGGATGCCAAGGGGAGTCTTGACAAACGGGTAGGAGTTAACCAGGAGGAGAAAGCGAGAACATTCCCAGCAGGGAGATCACGTATGCTGGATGCCAGGAGGTAACAAGATGGCGGGTGGGGAGACACGGCCGAGGGCCAGACAGGCCGGCCACGTCCCTCCCTCACGTCCGCTACTCTGTTCTCGCCCTCTACTCTGTTCTCGCCCTCAAAGGTGTGGAGCAGAGCCTATGCGCGAAGCTGCTTTGTGCCTGTGACCAGACGGCAGCCGAGTGCATGGCCTCTGCCTTCTTTAACCGAAGCCTCAAGTCCTCGGGCAAACGAGAGTGCCAGGGCCACAGGCCGTCCTGTGAGGACAGCTCGCACGGAGGGCCTGCGGCCTCCTCCCTCAGCTCCAGCTCTGAGGAGAACAGCGAGGAGGCCACGCCCCACGTGGAGGGCCTGAGAAGAAGCAGAAGGTCTCTGGGGAAGCCGCCGGGTGGTGTGGGGACCAGGCCACAACATGGCCCCAGACAGATCCCCAGAGGAAGTGACGAGCACACCCTGTAGTTTCCTCCCGTTAGGGCATCCTCCTCTCTGTCCTCAGCACAGGCTCAAGGGGAAGAGGGCCGGGGCGACCCTGGCACGGCAGTGTCAGCCTGTGTGGGAATGCGCATTTAGCGGGGGCGGATGAGGGCTCTGTACTTCCTTCAGCCCACCTTGGCATCTCAATAAATCCTCCCATCAGTGTTGGTTTTGGTTTGGTTTTCACGACATGTTGTAGATACCGGTGCATGGGTAGATGTCAAAGGTAAGAAGACAGAGCCACGGAGCAGACAATTATTATTATCTCCACTCTATGATAACTGAAGATGACTTTTTCTTCTATTAAAAACAAAGGAGCGTATTTAATCGATCTTATGACCTACGGGACACCAATGACCCGCCGGGGATGTCTACGAAGAACTGAGATAACACACCTTCTGGTAGGAGCCCTGAAAACATACTTGCCGTTCTAGTTGTTACGAGTGGCCATGTGTCATGGGCCACGGCCACCACCAGGAAGAATCACTGCTCACGCTTGTCTCAGGTCCTGGACTTCTTGTCTGTTTGTTTTTGAAGGGTTTATCCCAGTGGCTGGAAGTTTTGGGGGTTTAAATGCCCATGCTGACAGAGGCAAATTAATATCACGGTAGCTGTAAAATATCTGAAACGCTAGCCATCCCTCCATCCACCCACTCACCTGACCCGGTACCAGAAGGCAGTGTATTACCAGAATCCCCCACAATATTTGGTAGGAACACAAACTCCTTGGTTCATATCACATCCTAGGTTCCCAATCCCCCACAAACCACGTGTCTGGTAGGGAGTTAAGAGTCCCTGTCTGCTCCTCAGGACCCGCTAGAGTTCAGTGTTGCTGACCTCACGGCAGACAAATATTCTGAAGTTGGGAGGCCAGGGTAAGAAATTGAAAGGTTGTGTTGTGAAGCCAACAGCAGACATCCTTCCCTGCCTTCCAAGGCGATCACGTGAGGACACCTCTTGATGAATCCAACACACTGGTACCTTTCAACCAGGTGACTTTAACTAGCAGCCAAAGTTTGGGTTCTCCCAAACTAAACTTTGGGTTCTCAAAGCGAACCCTCTGACAAGAACTTGAGAGCAAGTTCAGTTGGAAAGTGAGGGAAAGCCTGACCAGAGACCAAAGAAACAGGACAGGAAAGATAATGAAAGGTGCCTTAGCAAACCAGGTACAGCTAGAAGGAGAATACATGCACGGAGAGAGGAGAGAGATCAGGACGTCAGCTTCTAGCAAATCAGCCAATACTCCTGGGGAGGGAGAGATTGCCTCCTGGCCTGCGGCACGTGGGAGCGAAGTGGGCTCCAGGGCCCAGAAAAAGCGTTCAGGCAAAGAAATGCAGGTGCTAGCGGTTGGCATCAGCCAGCACGCATTCGATGGCAGACGCAGGCCGGTCGCTGATGGCAGTTTCTCCAACTACTACGTTGCTGGCTTGTTCCTCCTTCCTTTAGCCCAAAGCGATTTACCAACTGTCTGCTCCCACTGGCAGTCGTGGTGCCAGCCTACCACTTGTATGGCGACCATCTGCCTTCACATCTTCACCGGAGGCGGCTGGTTGTTGCTCAGGGAAAAGAAAAACTGACGTGACCCACCTCACTCTCGTAGTTCACAACCTTTAAACCTCATGCGGGTGCTCAACCTCTTCTTAAAAAGTTGATGTTCCTGCTCTCCAGGACAACTGTCTGGTTTTAGCTCCTCTCTCCAGACCTCCCCACACCTTCCCCTCGCACTCAGCTCATGACTCTGGAGGACCGTGAAGGGCCTGAGATTTCACCCTCCTTGCAGCTTAGTTGATGTGCACTGCATGGATGCTGGCAGAGGACACGAGACACCTGGGTCAGAGACAAAGGACTTCATTACCTACAGTAAAGGCAGTAGCCCCAGCAGCATTTATGCTGCTCCCTCGAGCCCTGATGCAGACTAGACACACACACACACACATGGCTTCATTACATGGGAGAACCCTGAGTTTAGGTAACCTAAAACTATCCTGGTTGTAAGCCCACCTGACCTTTATCCCAGAACACATTCTCTTTCTACATGAGAGTGAGCAGGCCTGCCCTTGGCTCCAAAGGGAGACACCATCCCTACCTTCCCATAGTCTGTTTGCTATACTACATTCTGGGGGAGGTGGTCCAGGCTAAATAAAGGCTGTTGGTGTCTGCATGCTCACATGACAAGCACGGACACAAGAGACACAGAATTGTCCAGCAACAATGGTCTCAGCTGACCCTCCACTTTGAAAAAGTGAAGGTTTCTAATGGGAACGCCCTCACTTTCCTGCTGCCAAAGCTACAAAATTACCTGCAGTCTTTCTCTTCCGTCTCCTTACAATGACGTGTTCCTTAATCTAGATCAAAGGTCAATCCCTCCCACAAGGCCCTGTGTACAACACTCTACTGCCTTCTCCAGGGTTTGATCCCTGTAAATACTTCCTTTTAAAATCAATTTATCCCTTTTCTTCTATGACAATCTAATCAACATGCAAACGTGCCCTAAAATCTCCCATCTCTAAAAGTCCCTCCCTTGACTGATTTAAAGGAAGTGTAAAATTATAAATCTGATGCTCCTAGCTGAAATACCAAACTAGACAGTACTCTGTTGAACACCTTTTACCTGACTCTACATCATCCAACCCTACCTCTTAACCCGCACACCGCGGTGACAACCGGTTCCACACAGGCTTCCACCTGCCTCATTCAGAGAGGTGGGGGCCCGACATCTGCCTTCCGAACTTCCATTCTCCTCGCGATCTGACACAGTACTCCTCTGAGAAGGAAGCATGGGGCACCGTGGGAAACCACTCGGTGCTCAGGTACACATTCCAGAAATGGGGGCGGGGCAGGGGGTAGTTACTGCCAACAGGCCACCCTGGAAAATGAAAGGCACGCTTCCCCGGCTTTCATCACCTGGGTGGGCAGTGCTGAGATGGACCTCCGGTCACCTACAGTGACACACAATTCATAAACGAATCCCCCTAACGAGCCCTTCTCCTTGCACGGCACTGTTCCAGGCCCTGGCCGGGTTTGCTGGGACCACGGCCCAGAACAATCCCCGCGTGTAAGCCTGTGTCTTAGCCCAGGTTCTCCTACAGCAGCCTATGACCGTGCCCTCCTCAGAGTCTGCCTGTGACTCAGAGCACAAGTACAAGGAAAAGACAGTGGAACAGAAGGCAGGGCTTGATGCTCTGTCTTGGCTCTGCTTTTTCATTCATTTGAACTTGGTGCTTGAGACCAGTATTCATCAGAACGGCTGACAGGATCCAACAAGTTAGGGCTAGAAAGAAAAGCAAGTGACACAGCACGTAACACAGGCTGCTCCTTCTATGCAGCACCTTCCCGGAAGTAGCATCAGTGAACCAGGGGGCGGAGGGACCTGGAGCCGCTCTTTTTTTAGGAAAGAATTTATACGACAAGGAGAGATGCAAACCAGAAGCCTGGTGCAGAGAGGGCAGCGCAGCTTTCCCGGCTCACACCGAGAGCTCCACCTTCGCCACATCTCGTCACGCCTGGCAGCTGCCGTTCTGGTCCTTCGACGTATGTGAGGATGCGGGCCCCCTGGCAACCTGATTCCTCCGAGAGCTCTTCATTTTTAACGAGAGCAAAATATTAAACAAACTTGACTTGGTAAATGCAGTCACTATTATACATATGTACTTATACGGAAGTAATCTGATTTTGTTTTATTGCTTCCATAGGAATTGCAAAGGGAATTTTTACATTACAAGAAGCTCACTTTGTTACATTTGCTACATATACTGGCATGAATAAGACAAATCAGTTCCATTTTTGGACACAAAGAAGAGAGATGCTAATTGCTGGTGAAGTGTAGTATTATTCTAAAAGATAACAAGTACAGAAGCATTAAGGGGTGTACCGTGTGTGTGCGCACGCGTGCGTGTATATTCAGGTCAACTCCAATGACAAACTCTAAGCAGTCAGAGGCAACACAAATCTAAGGAACATTTATATGTTAGCTATTCAATGTCAAGGAAAAAAAAATGAGGCAAGTGTATATAGCAAAAACAGAATGATTAACAGTTTATTAAGAGTTTTAAATATCTACAAAAATATAGCCATACAAGTGAACTTCAACAAATCGTAAACTTTCAGTCTCCAAACTGGCTTGGACGTGACCCCCTACCCGCAGGATCGCCTACGGTCTCCTAGAAGGGACAAATAAAGCAAAGATCCACTTCTTGGGAACCATTATTTATCTAGGATATATAGAAGTCTACTGTGATTTAAAAACAACAAGAAAAAAAAACCCGCAAAACCCACATCAACAGTTTACAAACAGACCAAGAGAAAGGGGTGAGAAACATTAATTCAAATGGTTTTCCTTTACATGCAATACATGCATTTTTAAATCACAGAGAAACATGAAATTTTGTAGAGCAAAGTTTGTTTTGCACTGAGTGCAAATGAATATATAACTCCTTTACTTATACCACTAAATTATATATATTTTCATACAAAAGCACACAGTGTTCATCTATAAAATGACATCCAAGTGGATGATGGTTGTTTCTGTGTGTCCCCCTGCTCAGATGTTTTTAAATGCACAAAAATTAACACCCTTCTTTAAAAATAGAGAAGAAAAAAAGGGGAATAGAAAACATAAAACTTGGCCTATTATGTGGTGACACATTTTACCTGATCAAGAGGCAAAGTCCCAGTGACAGCTGAAGTAAGGTCATCCAACCCCCGTGCTGACTGCACTGTTATCCTGCAGATAAGCATTCACGACACCGCCCGGGAGGCCCGAGTATCATTTTATGGGTCTAGACAGCTAGGACCTTTTGCAAGAGGCTTCGAGACCCCGTACGTCAGTTTATTAAAAAACTGGAGGCAGGCTTGTTCTTTTGCCACTTCCATACATTTTTCTGTTCCTTGCAAAGGTGCCCAACAACCATATACACAAACCCCTAACATGCCATTCTCAACTGTAGTTTTTCAAACAAAAAAGGTAAAAACTGAATTGTTTTTTG